AACTACCAGTCACAACTGGGAGGCCTCAACTGGTGACATGATATTTATGATGATAGATTATGAAATGTGAATATTTCAGACCTCGTGTCAGTGATTTCTTTGCTCACTGTATCTTCTCCAGTAGCCAGCACCATTGACTGCTGCTGCCACTTCAATAGAGTAAATAGTGGATGACCTGACGGTTTTCAATAGTCATCTGAGTCATATCAGCTCCATTAACAGTCATAGTCGTCCTGTGTGTTCCCACTTCCCATCACTCCTCCATACTGGACGAGTATGCCTGTGATGGCTCCATTCTGCATCAGCACAAGGCACCCTCACCCATCACCACAGTGAGGTAGAAGTAGGAGGGTGGGCTGGTGCGGGACTGATGATGTCACTCGACATAGGAGCTGAAGTGGGTCCTTCCTGAGAAGACACCTACCATGATCATTTGCATCATTAAAGCTTATCATCACTCACGTGATCAGACATCGTCATTGGAGTGATTTGGTTACTTGTTTCATCGTACGAGGGAATTGAGGCGGTCACAGTGACTGCATCATACCTACTGTCTTCCTCTAGCTCCGCCGTGATCTGGAGCTAGTCATTGATACGCAGTGATAGTGGTACTGTCATGTGTCCTCATCAGTCACCCCACTGAGGTGTCTCTCTGCTCTGCCACTCCACCTCATAACTGACTCCTCTGCGCCAGCACTGGTCCAGGAGAGGTGAGATGGAGGTGGATCGTTGTGGACTCTACGGTCAGACGACAGCACTAGGGAGGAAGCAATCAAAACATCCCTGACAATGCCACATGGGTAGTCCATGACATCTGTTCTATGATAGTCACAGTCCATGAATACACACCTCAGTCAATTAGCTGCTCTGCACTACTGTATGTTCTCAAGATGAGTTGGTTTGTTGACTGCTGCTACTCTAATGTGTAGGTAGTGGATGACATGAGACCCAGAGATGGTGGTCTGAGTGGTACTAGCTCCATTGACAGTCACAGTCTCTGTGATTCCACTCTCCATCACTCCATACTGGACTGAGTATCCTGTGATGTCTCCATTCTGATGGATACATGGTACACTTCCCCACTGGACAGTGATACTAGTTGAGCTCTCCACCATCACACCACAGGAGACGGAGGGGCAGATGGAGCTGTGGGAGAAAGGACCATACAATAGACCAGTACCTCTAGCAGTGGTAGATAGTCTCTCACCTGCCTCCTCAGTCATTGCAGTCATGTGTAACTGATTTCACTACTACCAGCTCCATTAGAGGCTGTCACAGTGATGGTGTACCTACTGTCTTCCTCTAGATCAGGTATAGTGTGGTGGTAGCAGTGATAGTGGCACTTCTGCGTCCTCATCAGAACAGCCTACCGAGGTGTCTCTAGTCCATTGTATAACGTATTCATCTACCACTGAGCCACTGGGAACACTCCAGGAGAGGAAGATGGTAGTGGCTGTTGTGGAGTTAAGACTGGCCGTTGGCTGACCAGGAACTGCACAGGATACAGAGAACAACTTAAATCATCGATCAAAGTAACTATTGGACTTACCTAACCCAACAGCCATAACTGTCACAGTGTCACTAGCAAGGTTGTTGGATGTGGCAACAATGGATAAGGTGTAGGTTCGTCCATTGGTAAGACCAGCAGTCAGAGTGTAGCTGTTGGTATCTCCACCACTAACAGTCTCACTACCACTGCTGCCTCCTCCAGTGTAGGAGATGGTGTAACCAGTGGCATTGCTGGATGTACACCAAGAGACTAGGATACTAGTGGGACCATCCTGGACTGCTGTCACACCAGCGGGAGCCTCAGGTCCTAAGATTTGATTCACAGCTTAGCATATTGCTACATAACTCACTGTAATACCTGTCACAGTGATTGTAGCAGAGGCAGAGGATGGTTTGTTATTAGACACGATACATGTGTAATTGCCTGCAGTAGCTATAGTCAGAGTGTGGGTGTAGTTTGCAGTCTCTGGGCCATTCAACACAGTCTCAGTTCCTTGGGTGACAGTGATGGAGTCTCTGGTCCAAGTGACAGTGGTGGCAGGTCCACCAGTGGAGATACAGGTGAGGGTCAGCTCGTCAGAGTCGAATGTCAAATCTCCAGATATTGAGATGTCTCCTGCATGGTGAATAGCTAAAATAGCCAACTTTAGAACTACTACATAAAGATCCAGCCAGCCAGTATTTAGACATGCAGATATCCTGCACTGTATAGTGCGAAACACTGAGATGGGTTAGTAAATTCCATCCTCTAACGTAGTGAAAAAGGGGTTTTTGCTGGTATCCGTGGAATTTCCCTGTAGGCTACAGAGCAAATCACAGCTTTATGTGAGAGTTTATACCTCCACTGGCAGTATACAGTCCCACATAGACTGTGTCTCTCACTGAGATGTCATTATCACCATGGACAGCATTGGTTGGAATGTCACAGCGATAGATACCAGTTGATGAGTTAGCATTGTTCCTACGATGTAGGTCAACTCTCTGAGCTGCACGAAACTCATAGATATTACCACCATCTCCAGCGAAATTCAGTCTACTGCCATCAGGGAAATACCAGTCCCCACGATGGATGCCCTGACCACCACTACAACATGTGCTCAGGTCAGTGATACACTGAACACTTTCACCACCATCTTCAGGTCTCCCCACTTCACTGATGTCCACATAGGAATTGTTGGCCAGAGTCTGGCCGATGAAGGAGACATAAGGAAAGGTCTGAGAGTGGACCTCCACCAGAGACCAGAAAAGTAACGATAACGATGCGACGTTCATCACTATTCAGTACTACAGTTTCTCGCGAGGGTGTTGTATACAGCTAGTTTATTTCTGCAGCACCAGCGCCAATATTCAGTACTTACGTATTATACACGACCCCAACAAACTACGCATGCGCAAAATCATTCACGTCCGCAAACTAGCTACCGGCACACATCATCAACGAAATGAGACAGGTTCGTAGAGAGAGTCTCCAGCAGCAGTAGCGGTAGGCTGGGAGGAGGTGGTGGAAGGAAGGTTTTGTGGTACTTCATAATCACCTTCAGCTGTCCTTCCAGTCCCTTTCACTACATTGTAGGCCTCTGGTCTGGATCTCTGGAGTGTGGCCATCAGTGGTATAGAAATCAGCTCACAGTGTTTCATATAGGGAGACTTACGCATATGTTGCCTCTGAGAACTTAGAGAGCTCCACTGATTGATTTGTAGTTGCCAGAGCACCAACTGACCCATCTGAAAAGGAAAATTAAAAATGTACCTTGCTATAATAGACTAGTTCTAACTTATACATGACGGTAGTACCGTGCTTTAGATAGTGATAGCGTTTTGCTGGGCATACCAACCTAGTCTTTGGCATTACACTTCCACTTCTCAGAACCAAACTCACAATTACTATGACCGTCACTGCAGCTATAAGTGCCCCAGCCACCACTCCACCAATGATATCCTATTGCGTTGTCTGTCTTATAGTCTCAGTGGCTTTCTGCTTGGTAAACATCAGAGGCTGGAATTGAGAGCAAACGAGGTGTCTAGCACAGTATTGACTGCAGTGGGTTAATACCAGTGGAGAAAAGTATGGGAGTGCTGTCAGTGGTTCCAGCTACGTTAGTGGCTGATACAGTGAGTGTGTAGATAGTGGATGGGTCCAAGTAGTGGATGGTGTAGGTAGTGCCAGACAGAGGACCACTGGTGCTCTCAGTGCCTCTGTCAGTGGGTCTCCAGACAACCTCCCAACTGGCCACCCTCCCACTGGACACACTCCAGGAGTTGGAGATGGAGGTGGCTGTTATGGAGCTCACTGACACAAACACCTGCCCTGGAGCTGGGACTAAAACCGAATAGGGGATTACATTTAGATGAACTGTATGACTCTATCTCTCTCTTACTTAGTGTGATTTGAAATGTGGTGGCATCACTGAAGAGGTGTTCAGATGTGGCTACAATAGATATGGTGTAGGTCTGTCCATTGGTGAGACCAGTCAGAGTGTAGCTGTTGGTAGAGACACCATCAATATCTACATCACTCCCTCCAGTGAAGGAGATCCTGTAGCCAGTGGTATCTCCCAGTGGAGAGGGAGGAGTCCAGGTCACTGTGATACTAGTTGGACCATCCTGGACTGCTGTCACATCAGTGGGAGGTGGGGGACCTGCAGAGAGTGAGCCAACATTATTACTGAATGACACATTATAGTAGATACCCTGCAATATGATGCTAGCTGATGATGTAGATGGCTTGTTATTAGACACCACAAACATGTACACTCCTGCAGCAAGAGTGTGGGTGTACTGTGCAGTCACTGGGTTATTCAAAACAGTCTCGTTTTGCTCTCCAATGATATTGACAGTGTCTCTGGTCCAAGTGACAGTGGTAGCAGGTCCACCAGTGGGGATACAGGTAAGTGTGAGCTGAGGACTGGCTCCATTGAGGTCAGACTCCACTTTCAGCTCCTCAGATATTGAGATGCCTCCTGCAATGTAGAATCATTATTTCACCAGGGACATTCTACATACCTCCTCCATTGTATATTCCTACATAAATTCTCTGGTTAGTTTCTGTGTTGTCTTTTACCTCACAGTGATATATTCCTTCTACAGGATCAGAGGAGTGTTCCTCAACAGTCTCACTACCATAGGACCTCTGTTTCTGTTGAATCCTGGAACTCCCTCATTAGGTACTCTGGTCCCATCTAGAACAAACCACCCTCCTCCAAAATTAGGACTACCAGATGGTGGAGGATGGTTAGTGATACAAAGTAGTCAGTGGAGCCAATATCACTGATATCCACAAAGCCATTTTTAGGGATGATGCTACCATTCAGAGTGAGGAAGACATCTATAGTGCATGATAAAAAATGACACAAATGAAGAACCTAAAAAAGGAAACACAATCGCTCACCATCAGGAGTTTTAACAGCCAAAGGATCACTGTATGCTCCAGTACCAGAGCTTGTCACTGCTGCCACTTGCACAGTGTAGACTGTCTTTCTAGTCAGTCCATACACTGTGGTCATTCCTCCACTGGAGACTCCCGACACCATCTGAACACTCCTGGCTTCCTCACTGCTCCCCTCTTCCCCATACGTCACCCAGTAGGCTGTCATCTCTCCATTCCGATGTCTACATTCCACTGGTCCCCACTGGACTGTGATACTAGTGGGAACTATTCACTATATAAGACTCTCACGGAAGAAGGAGGGGCAGATGGAGCTATGAGTGAGAGAGGTTTAACAAAGAGGGATAAACACTCAAGTTGACTCACCAGCAGTCAGTGTGGTGGCTGTGGTGCTGCCTTCTTGAGTCCGTACATTCCCAGTAACAGTGGCAGTGACAGTGACTGAGTATTCAGTTCCCTCCTCTAGTTGATATGAGTATGATGGAGATAGCAAATGAAGGAGTGGCCGATACAGCCAGTCCATCTGAGTGAGGGGAGGATTTGTAGCCAGTATGGAGCTACATGACTGTCCACTGTTGGGTTAATACCAGTGGAGAAAAGTATGGGAGTGCTGTCAGTGGTTTTCCAGCTACGTTAGTGGCTGATACAGTGAGTGTGTAGATAGTGGATGGGTCCAAGTAGTGGATGGTGTAGGTAGTGCCAGACAGAGGACCACTGGTGCTCTCAGTGCCTCTGTCAGTGGGTCTCCAGACAACCTCCCAACTGGCCACCCTCCCACTGGACACACTCCAGGAGAGGGAGATGGAGGTGGCTGTTATGGAGCTCACTGACACCAACACCTGCCCTGGAGCTGGGACTGAATAGGGGATTACATTTAGATGAACTGTAGGACTCTATCTCTCTCTTACTTAGTGTGATTTGAAATGTGGTGGCATCACTGAAGAGGTGTTCAGATGTGGCTACAACGGATATGGTGTAGGTCTGTCCATTGGTGAGACCAGTCAGAGTGTAGCTGTTGGTAGAGGCACCATCAATATCCACATCACTCCCTCCAGTGAAGGAGATCCTGTAGCCAGTTGTATCTCCCAGTGGAGAGGGAGGAGTCCAGGTCACTGTGATACTAGTGGGACCATCCTGGACTGCTGTCACATCAGTGGGAGGCGGGGGACCTGAAAGTAATGATACTAACATTGGGACTGCAATTTTTCAATCGTGCTGTCGAACTGCCGACCTTTGGCCTGTAGTGACACCTTCACGACTGCCACTATTGCGTAATCAAAATTATTGCCCATACAATACTGTGTGTGGTTCACAAGAACTTATACCTCTAGCTGGTGCTTATATATATGTTTTCAATTTACGTAGGTTAGCACGCCATGCATTCTGGCCAAAAACCTAAAAGTTGTGATTTGTGTACTACCTGCTACGGTGGTGCTAGCTGACGCAGAAGATGGCTTGGTACAGGTGTACACTCCTGCAGTAGTCACAGTCAGAGTGTGGGTGTACTGTGCAGTCACTGGGTCATTCAACACAGTCTTAGTTCCTTGGGTGACAGTGGTAGAGTCTCTGGTCCAAGTGACAGTGGTAGCAGAGATACATGTGAGGGTCAGCTTGCTAGGGTCAAATTTCACTCCCCCCAGATATTGAGATGTCTCCTGCAATGGTAGCGAACTGTAAAACTACCAACTGTTGATCTTATACAGTTGTAGTGTAAGTCATTACTAACATGCATATAAATGTAGCTATAATGCTGAACATTGAGACGGTTCTGTCATTCCATACTCTAACCTAGTGAAAAGAGGGGAGTTTTTGCAAGTATCCTAGTAGGCTACAAAGCTAAGAAAAGAGATGTCAAATCTCAGCTTTATGTGACAGTTTTTATACCTCCACTGGAAGTATACAGTCCCACATAGACTGTGTCTCTCACTCAGATGTCATCATCATTGGTTGAAATATCACAGTGATAGATACCAGTTGGTGAGTTAGCATTGTTCCTACGATGTAGGTCAACTCTCTGAGCTGCACGTTGCTCATAGATTTACTTCCACTGAAAGGTCTAATTCCATCAGGGAAATACCAGTCTCCACGATGAGGACCATAAGTACTAGTACAACATGTGCTCAGGTCAGTGTGGCACTGAACACTGTCACTACCACTGACATTATTCCCAACTATATAGACTGAGGTCCACATAGGAATGGTTGGCCAGTCTGGCCCATGAAGGAAAGGTATGTGAGTCGACCTCCACCAGAGACCAGAGGAGACTCAACAGAGACACAATTCTCATCACTACAACTACGACTGAGTAACTGAGTTATAACAGGCTGATGGATGGCAGAGATATAGCCCTCCCAATGTGGACATATAATTATGGAAAACAGAAAATGGCCCTCCACTGGCGTTTATCAATGTATACTTAAAATAACAGGATGTGTAATGTCCACAAGCACATTAGAGCGTCGGTAGACGCTCTATGGCGCGGGTCTGAAATTTCACGCCATCCGCGTAAAAACGCATCAAAACTCGGCGAGAATGACTCACCATGGCTTCAAAATCACTAGCAATTGTCTAGATAGGTATTGTATGATGGCTGTTTGGGGCCATCCATTTCCATCCAACCTTCCATTTCCATTCCACTGCCATTTCCATACTGCATCTGACTTATGCGCACGTAGCTATACGCAACGCCACAAGTTCTTATAGGAGATGGTGTAGCCAGTGATACTATCCAGTGGGCACTGCTTTTCCCGTTGCATAATTTTCCATTACAATATTTGGATTTTCCAGTCTTGCAGTCATCATTACACCATGTATTTTCGCATGTTTCGTTACATGCATATCACTGACTTCAAATTCACTTTCCTCCAGCGATATCTTCATCTTCTCTTTGCTCTAGCTTTTTCTCTTTCCTGTAGCTTCTTCTCTTTGCTCTTCTCGCTGTCTATCAATGCACAAACTGTGTGAACTCGGGCCTTTTTATACGGGCGTAGCTTTGGCGCTAACCCCAGTCTAAAAGCTGATTGGTCCGTCGCTGGACGGACCAATCAGCTTTTAGACTGAACGGACCACCTCGGCCTTGACTAAGTGATCCAGATTTGTTTCTAGCTGCTGTATAGCAACTCTACAAACCGATTGGTCCGTCACTTGGCGGACCACCTCGGACTGTTAGGCGTATGATCCGCTACCGAGAACTAGAAGACGATAGGTCAGTTTGCGCCGAACCACCTCGGAGTTTCCGCGAAAGTGATCCGTCCAAAAATCCAGCTCAGCTACCTACAATCTGATTGTTTCATTGCCACTATAGCTACCTGTAAAAGAATCACCTGCATGCTCCCTATAGAGCTGCAGTCATAGAAAATCAAGATACCTTGGTTAGCTTCCACCATAGGAAACTCTTCGCTCAACACTGAAGAAGTTCAAGAAGATGCAGAAGTATCTCGATTAACTGAAATAGTCGACGAACAACAAAGAAGAATTAAGTTATTGGAAGACAAGATTCAAAGATGTGATAGAACAATTGACCGAAATCTGAAGTATTTATATAGCCATTAAGGATGATGAGATCAGAAGAAGAGATTAAAGGATTCATCAACTAAACCTACAGTTACGAGTTCATGAAAGAAATGAACACGAAAGAAGAAAAGGCAGAGACGAGAACAAGATGAAGAAGCTGAGCGTGTACAGATTGTGAAAAGAGTGTGAATTGCACAAGAAGAAAAGTACAAGATAAAAAATGAACTTGATGAACGATCATGAACTTGTCACCATTCCAGTTTATTCAGTGCATTGTCTTTACTCCTGTATCTTTTATTAACATTAAAATGATCAACAATTTAAAAGAATGCTTATTCACCAGCTAATAGTACTGTGCGCACATGACTTGTCCATGTGTCATCATCACTGAGTAGTGGTCCTCCGTCTCTGAGTAACTTTCATGCTAAACGTTGGTGCTGATACAAACATGTCACCACACATACCTTTACCATCACAGGCTTACATACTCTACAAGCATAGTTGTGGGTGACTTGACAAAGACTTGCTACAGTTTCGCATTGAGTTATAGTTCACCTTTTGTTAGAGTGGTATGGCTGAAGGCAGAGACCCGCGGGGTCAACCTCATACGTCGACAGTACTTCATCGTCTGAGTCTGAAGATGGTGATAGGTCTCTGTGGAAAACAGGAAACGGAAGGTTTTGAGTAACCCAGGTCGTGGGAAATGCTGGTGTTCGTCATCCTCCACTAGCTCGGAGCCTAAGAGAGTTACTTCACAGCAAAGAATCAAAGAATTCCCAGGTGAACAGCTCGTTGTTTCTAGCCATAAACTATTTTGTAAAGCATGTCGAGAAGAGCTAAACCTGAAGCGCAGTACAATACAGAATCATGTAAGATCGGTGAAGCATGTGGAAGGGAAAGAGAAAACGGCCAAAAGGGAGCGAGAAATTGTTATTGCCTAAAAGGCTCACAACGCGAAGGAGCATCTTGTGGGGGAGGGTTAAGAAAGTGGCATAATTTACTCAACCCTACTATTAATTTTCTGCTGAGTTGTGAGGCCCCATATATGTAGCCTTGAAAGACAGCTAGTAACCTAGAAAGGTTCGAGGCTGTTTAGACACAAACTTCGTTTTTCATTTTTTGGCCCGGCAACCCCCCTTTTGTATGCATGCTTGGCTGTTTAAAACCTTTTGTGCAAAAACCAGCTTGCTGTTCAGTTGCAGGAGGGATTTCATGCTATACCTAAATATGTAATGAATAGAGCTACTATATAGCAAGTTTCACAAGCTGCGGAAAATGTGTCATAGAACAAACCAGCAGGGACTATATGATCATCATTGGTTAAAAATAGTGTATCCTCATGCACTTTGAGACATATGTTTTGTTTCTCTGACATGTTTTTGCTTATTCTGGGTTGGCATTTGTGCCCACAGTGTGTTTGCATTTCAGGGACCAAATCATGAATGAAATCAATTCAACAACAACACCAAGGACAACGAAAATATTTCATAACCGTGAACCTCTTGTTAGTCGTGTTTGGGGAAACACAATGAGGCCTCCTGATCTGAATGGGGCACTGCTGTGACCGTAGTAAAACTCGCGTTCGCGTCGCTCCCTGTCTAACAGTGCGAGGTCCTCTAGCTGTGTGGAAATGCTAGTGGTAAGCTACTCCCGGCCATGGCACCTGCTAGCTGCTCTGCTGTGTCTGTGTAGTTGGATGACACTGACAGTGGAAGGTAAGGTCTGTGACTGTGCATCGGCGGGAAGAATTCGCTAGTTTGTTGTTTCTATACTGTGATTCTTCCTCCATCACCTAAAAATATTAGTGTTGCCTGTCAGCAGCTGAATTTCGTTGTTCATTTCTGTCATCTCTCCACAGGACTGACTATAACTGTGAATAATGGTCAGAACAGTATATCTGTTTCTAATGACAACATGACGAGGATCAGTGTGTATATGACTTTGTGTTTGAGAGGTCAAGTATTGTGGTTTTAACAGAGCTATGAGGTGTCAGTCTGAACGGTCTGTCTCTGAAGTTAATGGTACTTATGGATGTCATGTTGGTGATGGAGATACTCCAGTCCCTTGTGTTTATCCAGAAGAAGAGTACATAAGGTTTGGTAGTTATAGTGATTTTGTAACTCGAGGATGGAGTGGATTGAGAGCTAATGAAAGTGATCGTAAAGTACACTACTTGTGGAGAAGGCGGGAAACTCCACAGGAAGGATATATCAACTGTCATATGTTTAATGACACTAACCCTGTATTAGGACTGTACGTCCTCTACCCCAGTGAGTAGCCATCTCTCGTGGTGATATAGCGAGAGATATTCTTGTATGATTCCTCTCCTCCAGTCACTGAGGTAACTGCAGCTATTGAGGTGGTGACAGGAACATTGACATTCAGAGTGAGGTGTAGCTCCACTGGTGGTAGAGCTCTCAACATGGCCGTCTCTGGACCTAATGAATACTATGACATCACTGACGACATAAAGCCAATTGGTACTCCACAGTTTCTGAGTAATGACAGGTACACTGCCAGGACAGACGTCATATCCAGTGGCATGGTTGGAAATGTATTCCACTGCAATGTCACTAATTTTGCATCAAACTTTAGCAGTGTGACTTTGAGAGGTAAACACTCGTCATGCAGTGTGGACTGAGTCTGTAGATTGTCTTACATTATGCTACAGCTGCTGCTTCAACCATCACTGGACTATTGCAAACTGCTCTTACCACTGTCATGGTGACGTGGACTCCACCACCAGAAGCTGCGGTGAATGGATACACAGTACGCTACCGTCTTTCTAGTGGTAATGGCGATGATGGGACTAAAACTGTTCGTCAAGGCTCCACAAGCACTCCAATCAATGATCTCACTAGCAGAGAGACATACACCTTTTCAATTGAGGCTACTGCGAGCAACATGCTACCTGGAGTATCGGAGGAGATGAGTATTACACTGGGTAAGTGGTTACAACTGCAGGTTACTCTTACCATTCCTTCCTCTCTCTCTTTCTCTCTTACACAGCAATGACACACCAATGTACTATTAAATATGCATCAGTTGTTATATATAATGTTGTGACCCTTATGATACAGATAGTTGTGAATCTGCTGATAGTCTCCAGTCATCTGGTTCAACTGGTATGATTGTTGGAGTGGTGATAGGCCTACTTGGTGTAGCAGTGGGTGTCTCTGGACTCATCGGTGGAGCAGTTATTGCCAAAAGACACAGGTATATACATCACTTACTAGTGTCTTTAGTATATACCTATTCAGCCATGCACTCTACACTGTGTTACAGACCAGCTGAGGCCAAGGCAACAGGGGCCAACCCAGCGCATGGTATGAGTGGTCCTCATGGGAAACCAGCAGAGACTGGAGGAGTTTATGACATTCTTAAGTACACCTAGCCACCATCTGGGGCTGAGGGGGTTTATGAGGGTGTCTATTGACATAACCCCTACGTACAGCTACTTAGTATACAGTATAATAATGTATGTTTTGAGTCCATGTAGTGACATGCATTCTGTGTGGGCCTTTTTATAAAAAGTGCAAGTATTGTGTGACTGTATGCCATCTAGTTTGCTAACAGCACAAGCTGCGGAAAATGTGTCATAGAACAAACCAGCAGGGGCTAAAGAAGACTACATCCCTGCTCATCATTACTGCATCCTCGTGCACTTTGTGACGTGCGTTTGGTTCTCTGACATGTTTCTGAGTTGGCATTTCTGGTATGTAAGCCCACCGCATGTTTGCATTTCCAGAGACCAAATCATCAACAACGCCAAGGACAACGAAAGTTTTTCACATAATATAACCGTGGTCCCAATAAACTTCTTGCTAGTCGTGTTGGGGGGAACACAATGAGGCCTTCTGCTCTGAACGTATGTGACGGGGCACTGCTGTGACCGTAGTAAAACTCGCGCTCGAATCACTAACAAAGATGTAAGCAGGGAATTGGATTGTGAACTTCACCACTGCCTTTCATGAGAAAGGTATATTCTTACCGAGAACCGAATCTTCCCTCACACAAAAATGATCCATTTAATTACTATAGGGGCAAAAGCTCGAGCCCTTTTGAAGCTCACCGAACTTGCCCGGAGAGTGTGACACAGTTTGGTTGTATCCTTGTCATAAACCCGCAGTGCCTCACGAATTTGAAGGTACCTGATAAATCACCAGCTGGAGCTCGTAAATGGAAGACAGGAGGTATATATTATCAGAGAAAGTAATGATGGTGGCATGCTGGAGTGAGACTCCTTGCATGTATCAGCTACTAGTGACATCTCTAACCAAAGGACATGTGAATCACATCCAAAGGGGAAAAACAGGAAGAGTGTCTTCCTTATAATGAGCAATGTAAAGCTTTGTAGGATAATTATCACGTTTCGAAAAGTGATGCTGGGTCTAGATTAATGTTTAAGTTCAGGTCAGGCACGCATGGGCTAAATGAGGAACTTGGTAGGCATAGGGGGAGGGAGGGGATGAAGGAGTGCCTGTTGTGCGATGATGAGTGTGAAAGTGTGAATCATGTGTTGTGGGAGTGTCCAGCATAATTATAGTAGTCTTAGGAGCAATTTCTTAGTTGCCCTGCAGGAGAAGCTTGGGGATGATGGGTTTGAGCATTTCCCAGTCGCTTGATAGTTTCAGGAAAGCATCCTTTATATTGGGTAGTGAGCTGTGGGAGGATAAATTTGGTTCTTTGCTTCGCCTTGTTAAAGGTTTTATTTCGGATGTTTGGGAGCTAAGAAAGGTTAGGTTATATGGCGATAATCCCAGCGTACAACAGACTCAGTCTCAGATTGCGTCTGGGGAGCTGCAGGGTGTCACTGGTGGAAGGGGTGAGTTGAGGTGTCTGGGAGGTGAGACAGACACCGCATGTTCATATGGTGTATGTTCGTTTGTTAACGGTTCCGCCCATTGCTCTGGGGTGCGTGGTCTATGGCCCTAGTGCTATGGCAGCCACCTGAGTATTATTATTATCACGTTTCAGTCATTGGTCGAATCAAGTTTATCTTTAAATTGCACCATTTAAGACTCCTACAGTGTATAGGCAGTGGTGAGTGGGTTTCAGGGGGAGTGGAAGTACGCAGAATTAGATTCTGGTTCAACTCTTGCAGAAAATGCTGGCACTTTTTTGGAGCGAATACTATGATCACCACTGTTGATAGATGCCTAAAAAGAGTGCTATGGTCACCAGACTCACTACTTTCATGACAGATTGAGAAATTGAAGCATACTCTCGGATTTTCCTTTAATCATAGCACCTTTTAGAAGGTTTTGTGGAAGTCAGAATAGCGTGTGTGTGTTTTCATGTCAGTTTCAAACTCGGCCAATGTAATCTTTTCTGCATACTGTTACCAAATTTTCCCAGTCATAAACTCTCCCTTGGGGCTCCATGAAGGCTCCATTTACATTCAAGTGGCAGTGTATACACAGCATTACTGAAAGACTAAACCTCCCTTTGTTGCCTTTCATAACTGATAGTTTACCTACCTGAAAGGCAACAAAGGGAGGTTTAGTCTTTCAGTAATGCTGTGTATATAGCTACATGATTGTAGGAGCAAGTCAGTGTCATGAAGTCATTCATCAAGATAGAGCTAGACTCACCTGCGTCTTTCTTCGTGTCACTGTGTTTGTGTTTATGTATTGGTAAGTAGAGAAAGCAATTTTGGGGTTAGAGTGAGAATGGTAGAAGGGTGGGTTGGCATTTATCAGCATCACAGCATGTAGTGCTACAATGTACATGTATGTCTAAGAAGTCCAGCATGCCGACACAGGTGCTTCTACCGTGGTCATCAGGGGAGTGCCCTATTTTTCATGGGGTCAAGAGGGAACTGTCTGCAACTCCTCAAGCCTAGCTATGTACGTGTCCACTACCTTGACCACTCCACCGTCCTGTAGTGGGTTGGCAGATGTCTGGGCTAAATTGCTCAATATCCCTTATCATCTCCTTAGTTAGAGAGTTAATGTCAGGGGTCTGCTTCATCTCAACCCAGCCTTTAATTACACTGATAAGGCTTTACCCGAGTCACACCTTTATCATCCATCATGGCTGGGCCAATTGGTTACTTGTGGGTGACAGACTCCTCTCCAGAAGTCTGATCCCCCTTACCGCCCAGACGAGTCACACCGGTCTTTTGTAACCCGGTGGAGAGATGATTTGCGCCATCCAACAGGGTGGGTGGGTGTGGTCGAAGAAGGACTGGTGATTTGCCCGCCGCCGGTGCTCCCGCGCAGTGCAAAACTGCAACTGCGCATGCACCCCTCTGCGCATGCGCCCTCACGTGCGTGCGCCCTTTTGAGGCTAGGCGCGCGCGGCCGGTTAACCCTCGTTAAGTTAATAATTGTTCGCGTGGGTGTATTATTGCCTCACGTGCGCGCGTATCATTATGCATATGCGCTCGTACAAAAACAAGTCTGGGGGCAGCGGGGGGTGAGCAAGATAATACGCTCAGTGAGAGAATAAGTCACGGAGAAGGCCGGAGTACGACAAGAAAGAGAAGAGATCAGTGTGAAGCTACGAGCAGTAGCAGCCCCGTCACTGTCGGGGCATGGCAGCTGGAAGCACCTTTGGCCAGCGGCAGCCACCGCTTTACGTTTCGATCCAAAAGATTTTGGACAAGTATCCAGATGGACAAATTTTCAAGGTAAAGGACTGTTTTATTTCGTACAGACAACAGAGAAACAGACAACGTCTGTGTGTAGACTCAGAACGATAGTTAGTGAATGGGAATAATTTTTTTCGCAGGAGATAATCCAGAATGCTGATGATGCAGGCGCCACTGCCGTCCATTTCTATCTGGACAGCAGGCAGCATGGAACTGACTCGCTGGTTGAACCTAAACTAGCCACATTCCAAGGCCCAGCTCTATTGGCCTATAATGATGCAGTGTTCACTGATGCTGACTGGCAGAGTATTCAGGACCTTCAGCAGAGCGTGAAAACCGAGGACCCATTCAAAGTAGGAAAATTCGGCATCGGGTTCAACTCTGTCTACCACATTACAGGTATGTGCAACTGTAGTATAATTACATTGCATATAGCTATATACATCATACTTCCCCTATAATGAATGCAATTTGTTATGCTATTCATGGCATGTGGACCATGGTTGAATAGAGCTTGTTTTGCACACCACAGAAAGTGGTGAAGGAACCTGTACCTGTGGAACAGTGAGGGGGGCTCTAGGGATCAAATGCATATTCCAGAAGTCACTACCTGAGAATTAAGCTTGCTTTAGAAAATGAAAAGCACTAAAGTGCAAACCCTCGGCGCACTGCGCATGCGCGGTATCGCTAATTGATGGGCTGGGGGGCTAGGCTATGCAGTTACTCGTGGTGTAGCCCGCGGAGAGTCTGACACGGGCTACCTACACTAGTAGATTGCCTGCCGGAGTCGGTACACGCCCTCTGTTGCAACTTCTTGTGCCTCCAAGGTACGCGGAGTAGGCCGATCAGTTCAAGGTAAGCCAGCGTGATTATGCATATTGGCTTTTTCGCTTGTTTTCACGGCATATCTCTCGAACTCAGTCGTTTCAGGAAAATCGCCCTTTTATTTTTTGGGCTCATGTAGTACTGAAGCCGCTGGTATCGCTAATGGGCTGCCTCGTAGCCTGTAGTGCCAGAATAAGCGTCGACACACACACACACAGACAAACCAACTATCGTAACCCTTGCTGCACATGCGCACCGAGGGTTAACGAGCCCTTATAATAGAGCATAGGATGTGCACCAGTCTTACCTCGTCGGAAGATACGGAGGCAAATGAATATATTTCGTTCCATCCCTCCAATCCGACATGCGGCATGGGCATACACTTTTAAAAAGGAAGGAATGCTCTTTTAGAGGATAGCCACACTAAATTGCATCCACGTTATGGGTGAAATATAACAAAAAGGAGGTTCAAAATAACGTCATTGTAACACCTGGGCCCTTGGTGTTTGCTACAAATTAAGAAGCCACCCACTAACACACGCACCATGTACCAAACAGAATTTCTTGTTTCCTCACATAATTATATGCCACACCCACAACCTTGGTCTTGTTAAAACCAAACCGGACCACTTGCTAAAGTATAGATAGCCACACATTTGAACCTCATTGTCAAGTACACTCCTGTTATCACACCCAATGTCTAAAATTGTAGATCTGCCAACAATAATGAGTGGGAGTAAGTTGGCCTACCTGGAGCCACATGAAGAGATTTGGAAGAAGGAGACAGGTCAGTGGTATGATATCCAACAGCAAGCAGACAAGCTGGATACCTTTGCCCCCTTCAACAAACGAAACGGTTACTTCACTGGGAGTAGTTGTTTCCAAGGCACATTTTTCCGCTTTCCGCTACGCAGTGTCAGTCGCGAGAAGCGCGTATCATCTCAAGTCTACACTATCGACAAACTGCGAGAAATACTAACAGCTCTGCGTGAGGAGGCAAGAGCTATATTGCTCTTCCTGCGCTCAGTCACGGTTGTCGAAGTGCATGAGATATCAGACGGAGGAGACTGTACTGAGCTACTCAGAGTCAGTAGTGTTTTTGAAGGTAGCCAACTGCAGTTAAGGTCAGAATTCCACCAACAGCTTAGAGCAGCTTTTGAAAGGTTTTCCTACAACATTGTTCACCCGATTGAGTGTACCGTCCAATTCAAAGTGAAAGTGGAGGATTTCATTGACCCAGTAAACAGCTCAGAGAGTAAGTGGCTGGTGGCCTCTAGGGTTGGGTCACCTAGCAGTGAGGTTCATCGTATAGCCAAGGCTCTAATGGCCCTTCCCTGGGTAGGAGTAGCACTCGAGACTACAGAGAGCACTGCGATTGGTGGCAGGGTGTTCTGTGTTCTCCCCATGCCTAGTGAGGTGTCTTGCCACCTCCCAGTACATGTAAATGCCACGTTCAGTCTCAATGATGAACGTAGGGAGCTAAAATGGCCAGGTATTGAGAGGAAGAATGACCCATCGGCAGATTGGAATGGCCTGATTATCCAGCACCTTCTACCCCCGTGTTATGCTGCATTGCTACTGGGTCATGCAAAACAGCTATTGACAGGTGATGCGTTTTACAGAGCTTGGCCTGAGGTCGAGAATCTAAGATTCACCCCCTGGAAGGGATTACTAGGACCTCTCCTTGTACAGATACTGACAGAGCCAGTGTTCTGGAGTCATAATAGGTCATGGGTGCCCTATAACAATGCATTGTTCATGCCACGTGATGGTCAAGTGCCACGTGTAGTGATTACAGCTCTCTCCGATTATGGCGAGAGAATTGTGACTATCCCACCAAACATATGGGATGCCATCGATTTCTGTGGTCCGCTTGTTAAAAACATTAACCCTCATGTTGTTAGAATAAAACTTCAACAGAATGATTTGGTGTATATTAACTATGCTCCTAACCAAAAGTTGGACCTTCTTCAGTATTGTTTGTCTGACGGAGCATTCCGTGACATTATTGGAATTCGTCTACTCCCCTTAGCTAACAACAGCTTTACAGTTTTCAATAAGAGATCTGTACTCGTACCAGTCTACTTATGCTCCCCTGGCTATCCCTCGTGCATCATTCCTGGTTGTAAGAATCGGCTGGTCGATATAGCATACGGTGGTGAGTTGTACGAATCTTTAGTTGGACTTGCCAAGAAAAAGGTAACCCAGCTTGCAATGCTTGATACCTGTGGTGTAGCAGCACTGCTTAAAGGGAGTCTGCCCCCAGCATCAGTTGTCACTCTCCCTCATGATGCCGTTAGTATTCAGTGGCTGGAGCTCTTTTTGGAGTGGGCTGCAGGGCAACTAACACTCCAGCCTTTCTCAGGTCTGCTGGTAGTTCCAGGGTATGATTCAGTAACAGAGAAAACATGTGCTGTGAGACTTAGTTTGGACTGTCCAGCTGTTTTCAGTGAATACTCCATCAGAGCTGACCTTGTTAATGTGCTGGGTAAACTAAGTGTTAAATGCTGTGAAAAAAGTAGGTTTCTGTTTTTGCCTGCTCTCAGTGTCTCCCTAATGAACCACTTCACTCCTGATGGAGTGCTTGATGCCATACACTCGGGAAACCGCTACAGAAATGTAGTACTGAGTGCCCAAGAAGCAGCCTCACTGCGGTCATTGCTCTATTCATATTCTGAGAACCCACAAAGGGTATCCACCCTAAAGGACCTTGCTATTTTTACTACACTGTCAAACTGTGATAAACCACTTTACTCTGTAAGTGAAGCACCCTCCGCTACAATAGAACCAGACAATTTCCCACTAAGTCCTCGAAATCTTCCAGCTGGGCTCATTTTGTTTTCTAGATCGGAGCACCAACAGCTAGTGTTACTACGTAGTCTCTCAGTTCCCCAGAGCACTTCCCTGGATTTTCTGGTTGACTCTGTTTTTCCACTGATAAGTTACAGTGGAAATTGTATTGACCTGATGAAGGAAGTTTTAGATAATATCCATTCAATACTCTCAGATGGAAAAGCTCAGCAAATACATAAACTGATATATGGAATCAAGACTCTCTCATTCTTGCCAGTAGCCGAAAACAACTCAGTGTTGCACAAGCCTACAACCTTGTATGATCCCAGTGCCCCACTACTTCGTATGCTCTTCAAAGGCCAGCTGGTGTTTCCAGTTCAGCCTTTTAGTTCAGACAAGTGCCTTTCTGTTCTGAAGTGGTGCGGACTGAAGACTGCAGTATCTCAACAAGAACTCATTGGTGTTGTTGTAGAGATCATAGCTTCAGCAGGAAAGGGAATAAGGTCTGTTGATGAAGAAACATACACCAGAGCCCAAGCGGTACTGGAGTTCATTGCTAAGTTGAGTAAAACAGAATTGTCACAGGTTGTTACTGTCTATTCCAAGAGAATGATCTTCTCCAATGTAATGGTGGGTCTTAGTGGACTAAAAAGCTGGCTCCCTGTAAAGTGGGCTCCTATGGAGGGCTATCCTGACAGACTGTTTTGGAAAGGTAGGGGGCAGTTTCAGCGTTTGGTTTCGTATGGAGAATCAACAATTTTGTATCCAAACAATGCGTTGCTGGAGCTGGCATGTGGCTCTCAGGTGTACTTTGTGAACCACTCCCTTCCACTCGACGCATGTCAGCTTTTCCCTCTTGATCCTGACAGTCTAGTGAAGCATGTGATAGCTCACCTTTCAATGGTAGTTAGTAGTTTTGAACTTTCCCCGCAAGAACTGAAAGCAGTAACACATGCTGTATATCACACCCTGAATGGACATGCACAGAAAACAATCCACCACAGAGCTTCACTTCCTACAGAGTGTATTTACATCTCTCGTCTGAACGTCTTTGTCTCTCCAAGTGTTGTTGCAGTGCAGCAGAATACATCGTTTCGCCAAAACTTGGAGCCATTCATCTACACTCTCCCTGATGATCTGTATCCCTTTGCTTCCCTATTCAAAGCTTTAGGGGTTGAAGAGCGTGTTTCCAAACAACAGATAGTTAGAATTCTTGGAAATATCAAAGAAGGAACTCGCGGCACTTTGGGAATAGGGATCAAGGAAGCGTGGGAGTTGGTTATGACAATCCTAAACTGGCTCACTGGTAACGGAGAGCACCCGGTTGATGTCTTGGACTGTGGCAGTCTCTATGTCCCAGTAGAGGATGATAGCTCAGACTGGCCTATACTAGTGGAGAGTGAGGGAGTAGTATACACTGACAATGAATTTCTTAGGCGGTATATCGGAGTCTCTGAAGCAGAGTCCTACAAGTTGGTTAACAAGAGAATTCCACCGCAAATGGCTCGACTTCTACGCCTAAAACCTCTCAGTGAGTTTCTGGACATTGCCGAGGACGCCTTTGAGGATGTTGGACAACATGAGCCACTTACAGTGAGGCTGAAGAACATTCTCAAAGACTACAAGGAAGGTCTCACTATTATCAAAGAGTTACTCCAAAATGCCGATGATGCAGGTGCAACTGAAGTAAATATATGCTACGATGCCAGGAATCACAGAGTAAATCCAGGGAGCTTGCTCTTTCCAGGTATGGCCAGTTGCCATGGTCCAGCTCTTGTTGTCCACAACAATGCAATGTTTACACAGGAAGACTTCAAGAACATTACTAAGCTAGCTGGGGCTACTAAGGAAGGCAAAGCCCTGAAAATTGGCAAGTTTGGAGTAGGCTTTTGTTCTGTTTATCACATGACAGATGTTCCGTCATTTATCAGTAATAATTTCCTGTACATCTTTGATCCCACTCTTGCTTGCCTCAAAGATGACATTAAAAACCAAGCCCAACCAGGAAAGAAGGTCACTCATAGCACTAGCATCGTCCTGAACTCCCAGCAGCTAGCCCCCTATCAGGGTCTGTTTGGTTTCCAAAAAGGCTGCCAGTATGAAGGAACTATGTTTCGTTTTCCTTTCCGCACCACTCCCAGTGACTTGAGCAGCAACATGTACAACTCACACACAGTGAAGCAAATATTTGAAGGTATCCAGAATAAGAGCTCAGAGCTACTTTTATTCTTACAGTCAGTCAAGTGTATCAAAGTACATGAGATCAATGACGGTCAGCACTCACCTGAAATGCAGATGGAGATTACGAAAACTGCACAAGTATCTGGACCAATTGCCGTTGTCAACGTATCTTGCTCACCTGGTGACACAAGATACTGGCTGGTTGCCACTCATACAGACACTATCCTGGGTCAGGTTGCAACTGCATCAGTGTCCTGTTTACTAGGTGTGCCTTCTCCATACACACCACAGTCCATAGAGGGAGAGGTGTTTTGTTTTCTACCACTGTCAGTGAAGACAGGTCTCCCTGCTCACATCAGCAGCAACTTTGCAGTCACTAACAACAGAACTGGACTGTGGACATCTGACGATCACTCTATAAATATTCTAGAAGTGCGGTGGAATGAATCACTGATGAAAACAGTCATTCCAAAGGCGTATTTCGGAATGCTGGTGAGTCTGAAGCAAATGAGCCTCTCTTCACAGTTAAAAGAGTACTTGTTCTACAAACTATGGCCACTGGGGGAAAGCCTCACTATTCACAATCCTTGGAAGCTCATGATTGATGCTCTCTACCAACAAATACAGCAGAGTGATTTGTTTTTCTCAACTTGTGCTAATGAATGGTTGGCCCTTTCCAAAGGTCGATTCCTCTCCCCTGGTATTCTCTCCACCAATCCATTGACAATACCTGAGTGTGTAAGAGCTGTAACCGCTAATCTGAATATGCCTATCATTGATCTCTCTCTTGAGTATCATGTACACATCAATACAACACCATTTATGATCACTGAAGATAAGTTCTTAAGACCCTTTTTTGAAAAGATTGATTGCATTGAGTTCAATGAAAGAAACGAAGTTTTATGTTTAGCTCTTCAGTGCTATGCAACTGAGCTAGATCAGAATACAGAGCGAAAAGTATATCTTCATTCTTTCTTAACAGCCAATGCTTGTATTCCATGTACTCCAGATGGTAGTAGGCTGAGAAAATGTTGTGAGGTTATCAATCCCAAGGCACAGTTTGCTCGTCTGTTTGATGAAGAGGAAGGACTCTTTCCAATCAAAGAGTTCCATGAAAAACCACTAGTGTCTAAAGCCATGGAAATTCTTGGTATTGTGTCTTCCCATATCCCATGGAATGCTGAAAGAAAGAGCACGAACCGTTAGTTTGCTGTATAAAGATTGCAGAAACAAAGGACTTGAACGTGCAAAATTGATCCTCACTTGTTTAGGTTCATATGTTGTTGAAAATGCTAAAGACGATGATGAAATGTGCATAATTCCATTCTTACCTGTCTTACCAAGACCCAAGGATTATGCATTTGATTGGTGTGGGGATGAAAGTAAGCTTCTTTCAGGAAAAGAATTGATGTTAAAAGGAGAGACCACTTATTTTGGGGACAAAAGGAGAAACATACATATGGCTGGTTCACAGGTAGCATTCACAAATGAATGTGAGCCAAAGGATGGTGGATGTGGTAGAGTGAGCTATGCTGCTAGGAATATCCTAAGAATCCGTGACATGCCAACTCCAAGAGAAGTAGTTGAACATTTTGTGAATGTAATCAGTGTTTACTCCTCGCAATCAACTCACAATGAGAGCATGGTAAAAGTAATGGACAACACAGTGAGACTCATATACAGTTTTCTTGAGAATGCATTGTCAAAACAGAATTCGTCAGAGATGAAGAAGGAAGGTCAAGATCACAGCTGTAAAGTAGATCTTTCACAACTTCTTACCCTCCAGTGTATCTGGACTGGCAGACGGTTGGTTAGATGTGAAACGAGTAGCTATGGAATGGAAGTCTGACACTGGACCCTGTCTGTACAAAGTTCCAGATAGGCACAATGTTCAGTTGTGGAAAGAACTTCAAATTAAGCCCAAATTTCCAATCTTGATTTCATATCGGCCCTGAAAGAAATAAGTGAAGAGCATGGCTCTGAAATAGTATCTGACACCCATAAAAAGGTGTTAGCTGATATCGTTTCTGAATTAGTTGATTTAGATATTCCAAAGGAGCATCCAATAATCATGTTACCTGACGAAAATTTCGTCATGCATGATGCTTCCTCGCTTGCTTTCAACGATGCACAGTGGCTTCCACCAGACAAGGAAATTGATTATGTCAACCACAAACTAGTGACTCGTGACCTAGCTCAGAAACTAGGTGTGAGAATGGTACGTAGTAAAGTACTTGACACACACAGAAGCAGTAAACCTTTTGAAAGTCAAAAGTTTGGCCAGCGTGAGAAACTGACAACTAGAATCCAAGGCATACTGAAGGATTACCCATTTGATGTGACCATACTCAAGGAACTGCTTCAGAATGCAGATGATGCCAAGGCATCAAAGATGTATGTCATCTTAGACAAAAGGACCCATAAAGGAGGTCGTTTATTGTCTGAGGAATGGCACGATTTACAGGGTCCTGCCCTGTTGGTGTGGAATGATAGTGTATTTCTCTGAAACAGATATTGAAGGCATTCAAAAGCTGGGCATAGGAACCAAACCATCAGACGCTGACACAATTGGTCAGTATGGAATAGGTTTCAACTCTGTCTATCACCTCACAGACTGCCCTAGCTTTATTAGTGCAGGCAATCTGTGCGTATTTGACCCACACTGCAAATTTTCACCAGGCTCCTCAATAAAGCATCCTGGAGGTAGATTCAAAGTCTCAAAAGGCTTTTGGTCAGACTTTCCAGACATGATACCAGCATACCTGCAGTGTAATGTGGAGGGTGGCTCTGAGTGCAGAGAGATTCTTGGTGGCTCCCTCTTTCGATTCCCACTTCGGCACACTCGAGAGCTAGTTGATGCCTCTGAAATAGTGTGTGAAAATGAGGAATCAAAGAAGGTGTTCGAAGGTGTTTTAACTGCCAGCAGAATGCAGGAGTATCTGCAGAAGTGGGCTCCCCAGATGAAGCAATCCATGTTCTTTCTTAACCACGTGACTGAGCTCAAATTCTTTGTTATATCTCAGTACGGTGGCAATCATCTCAGATTGGAGCATCACTATCGAGTAGGTATAGATGATTTAGCAGCCACATATAGAAAGGATTTACACCAAAAGTTGATAGACTTCAAAGTGGCACAAGGAGCAGAGCCTTATGTCACCAAATACCAACTGACTCTCATTGACAGAGATGGTGGGAAGGAAATGAAGGAGAAGTGGTTAATTCAGCAAGGGGTGGGGGACATACACAACAAACAGCAAGAATGGAAATATATGCCCGGTGAAGCCAAGACATGGAATTGCAGTCCCCTTGGAGCCTGCAACCGATCCCTTACACGTTTCGTGGGAGAGTGTTTTGTTTCCTACCACTTCCACTCGATTGCAACCTACCTGTCCACATACATGGGCACTTCATACTCCACTCCAATCGACGAGGACTGTGGACTGCCAGTGAGGGAGGTGACACTGACAGCAAACAACAATGGAACACAGCTCTTCTAAAAGCCATTGCTAGCTCATATGCACAACTTTTGCTTACAATAAAGGCCGACTACAAAGATTGAGGGTGGAGTGGTTAATTCAAAGGATGTCAGAAAATACTACCTGACTTTCCCAAGTTGGACAGCACCACGAGTGAAATCCAAATCTGATGCAAAAAGTCCTGAAGTTGGGGCTACTCAACGAACTGCAGGAATTTCCGTTGTACAGCGTCAAGCAAGCACTGGGCCACAGGAGCATGCTACACCAGAAGGTAGTACTTCAGCTTCATTTGCTAATTCTGAACGGGCACCAATACCAACTCCTACTAATGAATGGCGTACACTAGCTGAAGATGTTTTTCGTGCTTTAGTTGCCATCAATGCTCCTATTATAGCGGTTCTGCATTCAGCACCCAGAAAAGACAGTAAGAAAGTACTGGAGACTATTGAATGGTGCCCTCCAAAAAACAAAGATCCTGCTTCACAAGTCCACTTCATAAACAAAACGTCCTCCATACAAAAGTCAGTACTTGAAAGAATAGGAATGAAAATAACCACTACACAGTATTGGGTTAGAGAGCATTTTGAACATGTTGGCTGTTCTATTCCTTCTGTGTCTCCACCAGTCTCATATGAGTATTATTCTGAGTTCCATGAGAAAGTATTGCTGGTTCATCAGTCATTTCCCTGCCCTGTGCAAGGTACTGCATTTGGCTCTATTGACAATTTCAAAGCGTTCCTCAAGTTCATTCTGAACGCGATACCGCAGCAGAAGACCCTTGAAGAACCACCAAGCCCGTCAGATACTGCAGCAGACGTTCAACCTGTACATTATCCTCCATTGCTAGTAACAGCTGAAGAATTCCTCAGGTACTGCAACCAGGAAGAGGACAGAGTCATTAAGTCATCATTCTCTGTCAGGTACTGCAACCAGGAAGAGGACACAGTCATTAAGTCATCATTCTCTGCTCTGTTCCCAGAATGCTTACAGTACTTTCTCCACCCAGATATATCTGACCTCCAAGTTCCAAACAGCTTTCTTATGAATTCCTCTAAAGAGAATGAAGAACTTTGCTTGAATGTAATTGACGAGTGTCTCAACAGCCTACTCCCTAATGACTTAGTTAATGTACCACACACGTTATGCTCAAAACCAATCGATTTGGTTCCCTTATGGGAATGCTTGAGTGAGGATGCTTTTTTCAACAAGTTTTTAGGAAATATTGTTAAGAAATGGGCAATTTTGGTGTCAAAGAACGGTAGACTGTACAGCCATTTTCTTGAGGAAAAAGCCAGTCTACCAATTATCCCAATAACACCGAAATGGCAGGACGAGAATAAAGTGGACTTAAAAACATGCAGCCGTGTGTCTACTGTGTGTGCACACTTACATCTACCATTCTTGGACATTGAAACTGTTCCACCTTTAGCTGTTGAAAGTATTTGTCCAACATTGTTTAATGCAGCCTTCATGCTCCGAATTATTTACAACTTACACTGTGAATCAGACATCACCCAATTGATCACCGCAGACAAAGTCAACACACTTCTTTCCTACTTTAGAAACATACATCTTAGAAAGGATGCAGAGAGCTTGAACTTACTAAAGAAACTTCCACTTTTTCAAACCCACCTTGGGCAATTTACCTCTCTGAGTGGGAAAACAGTATATCAATGGCCAAATGAGATGTGTACTGTTGGTCAGGATTTATGGCTAGGTGAGAATGATAATACTGTCTTTCTGGATCCCTCAGGTGCCTTGTCAAAACTTAAACTCTATGATGAGTTTCAGGTCGACAACATATATCCAATACAGATATACTGTGAATTTGTCTTCAAAAAATTCGGATGCATGAATTGCGATGTTCGTTACAAACACTTGCAGCATATACGAGAAAACCTGTTTGAAGATGCAAAGACACACTCAAATTTGAAAAACAGCGTGAAGAGATGTCCCTCTCAAACATTCATTGATGATCTTAGAGACCTCCCGTGCATTGGCAATGATAACCCCCTAAGAGCTATAGGTGAATTTTATGATCACCAGAACCTCATTTTTAGTATGTTCGAGGAAAATTTCCAGTTTTTGCCTGAATACTTCACGGAGGGAGGTAATTACTTGTGTTGGAAATATTTTTTTTGAAGAGCTGGGCTTCAATGTAATAATTAAACAAGCGGAATTTTTGGATCTGTGCTGGGAAATGGCCGAAAAGAAACACACGTTTAGCACAAGAAAAAGTCTCAAGTACTTTTTCAACATCTTTTTGAAAAGGATACTCGAGAATGGTTCTCTAACCACAACTTTCTGTCTAGTGTAGTGAATATTCCATTTGTGCCAGCAGATGAATGTCAGGGTTACACATGGATAGCAAAAACACCACCAGAAAAGCATGCCAGTGGTACATGTGAGATTATCACTGATGAAGGGCCAGTCTACCTGTGGAGCTTGTGTTTATGATTATGTGAAACTGGTGTGGTCAGTTAAACCAGTATATCATGCTCCGGAGCACAGTATGAACCCTAAAGATGTTCTTTCTCGACTTAGAGTCTATTTCAGAGCTAAAGTGTCAGATGTGGTTCAGCACCTCATTACCATCTCTGAAACGGGAAGAGCTGATCCAAGGCTCTTTGATACATTCCCTGCTATTATAATTATCGATGATGTAGGGTTTATTGATATCATTGCAAAATGCTTTGAGTTCTTAAATAGAAATGCAGATGGAAATGGAGACATTCTTAAGATGACTAATTGCATTCCAGTCCCGGCATCTGGTGATGACAAAACAAAGATTGTCCTGGTCAAACCTTCCCAGGCATTAATGACAGATAATGCCAAGGCTTTCTTTCCATACTTGCACAGAGTACCTTATGAGCTGATGGCCTCCAAGCAGTTGCTTGAGAGAATTGGGGTGAAGGATTCCATCCAGCTCTCACACATCCAACTTGTGTTGATTACAATTCACAACCGAACTGAATGGGACAACGATTGATCCTAACACAAGGAACACCATTTGTCTGGCAATAAGTCATTTGCAGTCACTGTTACCCACATCATCTGGGAAAGAGTTGTCCACCACTCTACCTACCAGGTCGTGATAACTGTTTGCACCACACTTCAAAACTGGTGTACCCAGATTCGTACAGCTACAAAGACTGCAAACTGCCTGAAACAGATTTTATTCTTCTTCATTATCCTGACCCCCAAAAGGATCAGTTTGACTTTGCCAACCAATTTGTCCTTGCTACCAGAGGAAGTGAGGCCAAGGCCACTGTCAGAGTTGTGCCATCAGCAGATTTTGGAAGAATGTGCAAATTGCAGTGAGGACATTGAGATGGCAAAGTGTCTGAAGATAGCACTCAGGCTTGAACAGCTACCAAATGTGTGCATTTCAACATTTAAAAATATGCAAAGCACAGCATACGACTTGATAATATTAAAGACTTGCTGTCTCCCTTCTTTCAGCGGGTACAGGTGGTCACAGTTGAAGATCTTGAGGTGGAGCTTGCAATGAAGAATAGCACATCATCAGTCATAGGAACAGCAAAGGTCGAATTTTATCTCAGTACAGCTGACAGCCAAAATTTCTGTCTCTATCTTGACTCAAAGATAACTAGAATGGTGGAAGAGCATATCCATAAGACTATGGTACAAGAACTGCTTGGAGCAATCAACAAGATTATTGCAACATCAACACCAGGTATTGTGGTACCTGAGGTTCATGAGGCATTTTGCCTGTTTCTAAAGTCAAAGACAGACGAAGAGCTTCATAAGGCCTGCAGAGAGGAAGAGCAGTTTACGGATGCTGCTGAAGCAAAGAAGCATCTGTGCCAGCAGTTGAAGCAGATATGGAAGATGGATGAGCCAGAAAGAAGTAGAGCTATCCGTCGTCTATACCTACGATGGCATCCAGACAAGAACCTTGGTAATGTAAATGAGGTATTCGTATTAGAGAGTCGGTAGACTCTATAATTATAGGGATGACGCGGGTGAAATCTCACGTGATCCGCGTACAAAAACGACAAAAAACTCGGTGAGAATCACTCACTAGGCCTTCAAAACACACTAGCAATAGTTGGCCCATATCTACCTATACATGTCCCCCAAGACCCCTTGTACGCACCTTCAGTCGTCCACGCCAGAATTCGCTCATACGCGATTTCACGATTTTCATATTCTTCATCTTCTTCTTCTTTAAACCCGCTATCTCCTTACCAGTACCAGTTCAAGCACTGATTTTTTCACTGAAGGTCTCCAATTTCGCCAAAGGTGTGCACGGACATCAAGCGATCGTTTCTGGAACAACGCATCAGTGATCCGCGCGCATGTGCCAGGCAGGGGCGTTGTCCAATGCGCTTGCGAGCGTATTACCAGGCGAGTTGGAAGACCTGAAGAGGGAATTCTCAGCCTCCAGTACCTTCCGTAACTGTAAGTAAGTGTGCACATTTCCAGCTGGCTAGCTTGCTGTTGATTTGCACGAAGAAACGAAGAGTAACTTGCCAGAGTCTGCGCGGTGTTACGCGATCCTTGCGGGGCGCTCAGTCAAATGGGCCTTCATTGTTTGTCACCCCAGGTTGTAGCCTGATTACCAAAGCCTGCCCATGAAACCGCAACCATATGCAATAATCTAATTACATCCTTACAATACATGCGGTATCTAGCCCCTGCTTCAGGCCCCATTAGCTACTACTTTCAACAGTTACAATTTGTCTATGGTAGCCTATCTACAACATGCCCATCATAGTGACTGTAACAATGAAAAGCACTAAAGTGCAAACCCTCGGCGAACTGCGTATGCACGGTACCGCTAATGGATGGGCTGGGGCGATTGGCGTTTACTCGCGGTCTCCCGCTAGTAGCTTGCGGAGAGTCTGACACTGGCTAGCTACAGTAGTAGATAGCATGCGGGAGTCGATACACACCCTTCGCTGTGGCTTCTTGTGTCTCCAAGGTACACAGAGCATGCGGATCAGGTCGAAGTGAGCCAGCATACTGCGTCTAATACACGCATGCGCACCGCTTATTGATGGGTTGCCATTTTAATTTTCTAGCCCATGTACCGCTAAAGCTGTTTGGTATCGCTCATAAGCCGCCTCGTAGCCTGTAGTGCGAGAATAGTCGTAGACAGACACACGAACGACTGCAGTAACCCTCGCTGCGCATGCGCGCCGAGGGTTAATAAGCTGTCAAAAACAAGGGGAAAAATCATATCTTCAAAATGAAGGGGGATATGGCCTGAAGCACCAAACAGCAAAGTTGCACATGACACCATCCCTATATCTTTGTATTATTGTTTATAAGCAAAGTTTAATTAATATCGAACAAAGATATAGGGATGGTGTCATGTAGCTTTGTGCAACTTGCTGTGTAATGACCCCTTGTTTCTTCCTTTTTGGTGCTTCAGGCCATATCCCCCTTTCATTTTGAAGAAATGATTTTCCCCCATGTTCCTTAAGAAACAGATTGAGCGACTGGAGCAAGGTTTGGACTCCGAGGTAATAGAAGAGGATGAGGTTGATGCTGAGTCATCATCGCTTCAATGGACAGAGCGCTACAGTGCCTGGGAGGAGACGGTTAACTCTCACTCTAGATTTATACAGAAGTCGTTATGAGCAGTATTTCATGAGCAGTATTTCAGGAGGAGGTTCGGGAATGGCTGGAGGAGGTTGGTCAACACCACAACCAAATATCTCTGAGGGAAGATGTTGGGTTCAGCAGGCAGAGTATGATTTCATGGCTGTTGAAGCACTGTACGAGAGGCTGTGGCAAGTGGCAACAAGCTTTTCTCACATGTCTGTTTCATGGCTCACGAAGTTGCTGAGAAGGCACTAAAGGGAGGAGTGTATGCAGTCTGTGGCCTTAATGCAGAGTATTTGAAAAATCACCAAATTAACAACCTGTCACGCATGCTTCGAGGAGAGAGGATGGATTTAGCGGCAGATCTCCCTTCCTTGACAGCGAGCCTGGAGAGGTATTATCTCGGAACAAGGTTTCCCAACCGCTGTCCTCCTGGGTGTGTCCCGTCAGATCAGTTCACCGTTGCTGATGCACAGCAGGCTCTGTGAGAATGCCGGCAAGATACTGACTATTGTTAAGAGAATATTACGTACATGTTAATGTTGGTTAACATTCTTCAGACATATTATATACTATGAAAAATTACACACTGTACACATGAACCTATTATACACGTGCCAGTTTGATGATGAATCTTGAGTCTAGGGTGGAGCTAGGTGAAGAAGCTAATGCTACAAGAAATGCTAGATTGTGCAACTAGAAAAAATTAATGTTGAACATTGTTGGCGAGCGCGGGAGCGACCCAACTTGGGATTTGTCCGCGATGTTCGGGCTGCATAACGTGCCGTCAGCGCACAGCTTTCCTTTCGTGAAGCAAGACAGAGCTACCTGTCACCGTTACATGCGTACTGCATATTTCCAGAACGGTGAGCAGGTGATGGCAGTAGGCTAGGCAGCGATCGATATGAGGCTGCCCGACTACGGGGCGTGTGTTAGCTGGTCCACCAGGCAGCTGGCATGCAGCAGATGTGCACGAGCAATCGTAGCGTATTTGCAAGTTGCAGCTTGGAACCATGAAGATTGGGAAGAGGTGCAGCCTCGGTCAGTCATCGAAGGTTGCAGCGCATGCCGTCGAATGGAGGAGAGTTCTCTAGCTGGCCAGGCTAGATGGAACGGCGGCACTGTGTACGTGTGAAAATGTGTAAAAATTTGGAAATAATTGGCGAGCGAGAGTGAGCTAACCTAGTGGTACGAACGGCGCGGTTTTTATTTATCTACGACCGTACGTCGTCCAACTGCGCATGCTCCAGGATTACGCGCTTCTTTTTATCCGAAAGGATTTCAAAATTTCACATGCTGCCTGCCTGTGATGATGTCGTGCGTATACATGTGCATATAGTCCGGGGAAGATGCCCTTCGTCGTCGAAGAGAGAGGTAAAGAGAACATCGTGCCCGTGAGACTCCTGAGCAGAGAGGCTCGTTTGTATCAGCGTCGCTTTCGTGATAGGGAACGCGCAAATTTTACACGTTGCCCTAGCTGTCATATCGATGCCAGCCAAACAACTCTCGTCTATTTGCTGGCATTCGCTGCGCTCTTCGATACCTGACCGAGGCTGTCTATACCTCCTTCCAATCTTCGTGATTCTAAGGTTCAAGTTGTAGGATGGCTCGTGCAGATAGAGTCATTGTGTGCTCGCTCCCGCTCGCCAAAAATGCCATGCATTCGCCTACTAGTTTCGGATAAAAAGAAGCGCGTACAAAGCCGCGCATGCGCACTTGTACGACGACGGTCGGTCGCTCGAACGAAAGAAACGAACGACTAGGTTGGCTCGTTCCCGCTCACCAAATTGACGCCCTTCATTTTTTACAGCGAGATGTTTACCGGTAATGTCGTAATTGGATGGTGGTCTACATAGCTACTTGCAGATTTGTGACGGTGCAGTTACATAGTTGTGAACATCATGCTGTCTGGTAGGGACTAGGGTCGCCACACCTCCCCTGATCCCCTTTAGGAAGGTTTGGATGCGTGTGAGTCGCATGGAGCGGCGATGAGAGGCGTTTCGTACGCGGATCGACACGTGAGATTTGCGTTTCCCACGACATTGTCGTAATAAATGACTTTGCTAGGTAAGGGGCTACAAACAAAATCTATTGTAGCCGTCGCTCTCCGTCTCTGGTAATTATTAACCCTCGGCGCGCATGCGCAGCGAGGGTTACAGTAGTCGTTCTGTCTGTCTGTCCGCCTGTCTGTGTGTCCGCGCGAGTTCTAGCACTACAGGCTACGAGGCGGCCAATGTATTCTAACTCCTGTTATCTTTCTTATACTTCACAGGCTACAACAATATACATGGTTATCAACATGTACAATTTTATTCTGATCAAGATGTATTGTCTGCTGTTAATATTCAGTTTATTCGTCAATATTTTGGTTTTCATTCACCCTTTGAATCTGTTGTTTATGAAATCTCAACCTCA